TAGCAAGATATCCCTGTTATCTTAGCGTGTTTATGAGACAGAAAAAGAAACCAGCAATCCTACCATCATGCAAAACAGTTACAGGTTTTTGTTTCACAGTCATCTGGCAGGACGGTAGTACTTCCCTGGGTGGTTGCTGTCTACCAACCTACTACCTATATATATATATACATATATATATATATATATTTCGTGCCAAATATGTAAAACTGGTCAATTAGCAAGAACTCATTTAAAATTAAGTCCTTTCTAAAATTTTCTCTTATACGTTTAAATATATATTTTTTTCATTAAAACTGATGTAAAAATTTAAAATTTTGCTCCAAAAGAATCTTAGAAAACTTACCTAACCTTATTATAACAAGAACAATTTATTTTAGCCTAACCCAACTAAATATATTTTAGATTTGTTTACAATAATTTAATACTAAACAAACACAGTGAAATATATTTTTTTCGTTAGGTTCAGAATGATTTTGGCGAAATTATTGCATACACAAATTTTCACTTGTCCTATATGGCAAGATGAGCGTTGATATTTAAGCCAAGATCGCAAGTTCTGCCTATTCGGCACGACATATATATATATATATATATATATATATATATATATATAATATATTATATATATATATATATATATTATATATATATATATAGATTCCTCTTCTTTTTTCATCGCACTGGCCGTATCCCACCGAGGCAGGGTGGCCCAGAAAGACAAATGAAAGTTAAATTTAGTAATGTATTCAGGAGAAGAGGTTACTAGCCCCTTGCTCCCTCCATTTTAGTCACCTCTTACGACACGCATGGCTTGCGGAGGAAGAATTCTGTTCCACTTCCCCATGGAAATAAGAGGAAATAAACAAGAACGAGAAGAAGCAAGAAAATAGAAGAAAACCTAGATGGGTGTGTATATATATGCTTGTACATGGATGTGAAGTGTGACCTAAGTGTAAGTAGAAGTAGCAAGACGTACTTGAAATCTTGCATGTTTATGAGACAGAAAAAAGACACCAGCAATCCTACCATCATGTAAAACAATTACAGGTTATACACTCACTTGGTAGGACGGTAGTACCTCCCTGGACGGTTGCTGTCTACCGACCTACTGCCTGGAATACACACACACACACACACACACACACACACACACAGGGAGGCCCAGCGACAGTATGAAAACGACATAGCATTGAAAGTCAAATCTGACCCGAAACTGCTGTATAGCCACATTAGGAGGAAGACAACAGTCAAGGACCAGGTGATAAGGCTGAGGAAAGAAGGTGGAGAACTCACAAGAAACGATCAAGAGGTATGTGAGGAGCTCAACACGAGATTTAAGGAAGTATTTACAGTAGAGACAGGAAGGACTCTGGGGGGACAGACCAGATGGGGACACCAGCAAGGAATACACCAACAAGTGTTGGACGACATACATACAGATGAGGAGGAGGTGAAGAAACTGCTAAGGGACATCGATACCTCAAAGGCAATGGGACCGGACAACATCTCCCCGTGGGTCCTTAGAGAGGGAGCAGATATGCTGTGCGTGCCACTTACCACAATCTTCAACACTTCCCTGGAAACTGGGCAACTACCTGAGGTATGGAAGACGGCAAATGTAGTTCCCATTTTTAAAAAAGGAGACAGAAAAGAGGCACTAAACTATAGACCTGTGTCATTGACGTGTATAGTATGCAAAATTATGGAGAAGATTATCAGGAGGAGAGTGGTGGAGCACCTGGAACGGAACAAGAGTATAAATGCCAACCAGCACGGATTCACGGAAGGCAAATCCTGTGTCACAAACCTTCTGGAGTTTTATGATAAAATAACAGAAGTAAGACATGAGAGAGAGGGGTGGGTTGATTGCATCTTCTTGGACTGCAAGAAGGCCTTTGACACAGTTCCTCACAAGAGATTAGTGCAGAAGCTAGAGCATCAGGCGCATATAACAGGAAGGGCACTGCAATGGATCAGAGAATACCTGACAGGGAGGCAACAACGAGTCATGGTACGTAATGATGTATCACAGTGGGCACCTGTGACGGGGGGGGGGTCCCACAGGGGTCGGTCCTAGGACCAGTGCTATTTTTGGTATATGTGAACGACATGACGGAAGGGTTAGACTCAGAAGTGTCCCTGTTTGCAGATGATGTGAAGTTAATGAGGAGAATTAAATCTGATGAGGACCAGGCAGGACTTCAAAGAGACCTGGACAGACTGGACACCTGGTCCAGCAAATGGCTTCTCGAATTTAATCCTGCCAAATGCAAAGTCATGAAGATAGGGGAAGGGCACAGAAGACCACAGACAGAGTATAGGCTAGGTGGCCAAAGACTGCAAACCTCACTCAAGGAGAAAGATCTTGGGGTGAGTATAACACCGAGCATGTCTCCGGAAGCACACATCAATCAGATAACTGCTGCAGCATGTGGGCGCCTGGCAAACCTGAGAACAGCATTCCGATACCTTAATAAGGAATCATTCAAGACACTGTACACCGTGTATGTCAGGCCCATACTGGAGTATGCAGCACCTGTTTGGAACCCGCACTTGATAAAGCACGTCAGGAAACTAGAGAAAGTACAAAGGTTTGCGACAAGGTTAGTTCCAGAGCTAAGGGGAATGTCCTATGAAGAAAGATTAAGGGAAATCGGCCTGACGACACTGGAGGACAGAAGGGTCAGGGAAGACATGATAACGACATATAAAATACTGCGTGGAATAGACAAGGTGGACAAAGACAGGATGTTCCAGGGAGGGGACACAGAAACAAGAGGCCACAATTGGAAGTTGAAGACACAAATGAGTCAGAGAGATAGTAAGAAGTATTTCTTCAGTCATAGAGTTGTAAGGCAGTGGAATAGCCTAGAAAATGACGTAGTGGAGGCAGGAACCATACACAGTTTTAAGACGAGGTTTGATAAAGCTCATGGAGCGGGGAGAGAGAGGGCCCAGTAGCAACCGGTGAAGAGGCGGGGCCAGGAGCTAAGACTCGACCCCTGCAACCACAAATAGGTGAGTACACACACACACACACACACACACACACACTATATATAATATATAATATATATATATATATATATATATATATATATATATATATATATATATAAATGTATATGTATATATTATATATATATATACATATATATATATATATATATATAATATATATATATATATATAATATATATATATATATATGTATGTATGTATGTATATATGTATGTATATGGCTTAAACAGGAACGTTGTTCTTACCGAATAAGGGAAGCGAAAATTTGTGTATGCAATAATTTCTTAAAAATTATTCTGAACCTAACGAAAAAAATATATTCCACTGTATTTGTTTATTATTAAATTACTGTAAGCCTATCTTTAACGTATAAGAGAAAATTTTAGAAAGGACTTAATTTTAAATGAGTTCTTGCTAATTGACCAATTTTACCTATTCGGCACGACATATATATATAATGATGATGTCAACGCGCTTCTGGCGAAACAGCAATTGAATGAATGACGATGAATGTGCTTCCTCTTCTTTGGGTCACCCAACCTCGGTGCAACACGACCAGTGTATTTAAAAATATATAAATATTAGCTGTCAGGTAGGATTATTATATACATTTATTTATTATCAATTAGGGTAAGAGTTAATTAGATTAAGAATAAGTTTTGGCACTGCAGGAAAATTTAACTTTTAAATCGAATTATTAAATAAGTTTCAAAGTAAACTTAAACGCTGTTTTATTTTTAAGGTTAAATTCGTATTTATTTGTTTTGTTATGCCGTATTAGCTTAATTAGAAAACAAAAAAAGTGCAGGATTCTAGTAACTCATGTTTTTAGCACTTATTCAGGAAAAAAAATATTTTAGAACGTGTTAGTCAGTGTAGAGTAATGCTGATGTTTTGGTGAACCTGGGGAATTTTCCAGGTTTAATCAAATTTAAGAGTTTTCATGGAATATTCGAGGCCTATAATTGTCTTTCATTATTATTTATTAATATAGAGAAGCATATGTCTGGGGCCTGGGACAGAGTACATGGCAATGATATCTAAGATATCCTTTCAGAGTTACTTACTTTCCTAGGCAGATACTCAGTCTTTTAGGGAGACGTCCCCTGGGGGACTTGGTTGTCCATATTCCTTCTCTTCAAGCAGCGAGTCTTTTGTGTTCAAAGTATTTTCTGCCTTCAAAGTCTCCCCTGGGTTCAGAATATTTCCTGCGGTCAGATTATTTACCCCATTTTTATTTTTATAAGTGATTGTTTTATTTACTTTGAGAAATGACCTAATACGCGAGGTAATTTATACAATGGATTTTTTCATATGAGAGATATTTTGTATACGCTTTGGTTTCATTGATGTCTTTTTCATTGTCTCTGTCTCTGTTTCTGTCTCTCTCTCTCTCTCTCTCTCTCTCTCTCTCTCTCTCTCTCTCTTTCTCTTTCTCTCTCTCTATGTCTATCAGCCTCAATGTCTGTCTGTGTCTCTGCCTGTCCCTCTGCTGATGTCTGTCTGTGTCTCTGCCTGTCCCTCTGCTGATATCTGTCTGTGTCTCTGCCTGTCCCTCTGCTGATGTCTGCCTGTGTCTCTGCCTGTCCCTCTGCTGATGTCTGTCTGTGTCTCTGCCTGTCCCTCTGCTGATGTCTGTCTGTGTCTCTGCCTGTCCCTCTGCTGATATCTGTCTGTCTCTCTCTGCCTATAAATGAATATTTCTCTTCCTGTATCTGTCTGCCTAAACTTCTCTCTCCTTATATATGTCTCTTTCATATTATTACTTCTGTCTCTTTGCATCCTTGCCTTTCTTCGACTCTCGTTATGACTACTTTTCTCTCTCTATGTCTCTCTATGCATCTGTCTCTCTGTCAATCCGTTTCAGTTTTAGGTATATGCTATTAATACTGCCTTGAACAAGAAGTTTAAGAATTTTAAACGTTGTTTATTGAGTTCTACTGCTAGTGTTTACGGAGAAACGATGCTCTAGTTACCTTGTTATGCCAGGCGAGAGCCTTGAGATCAACAGTGCAGCTTTCCATCCTGTCGGACCCAGCGTGTACCTGCAAGCCAAGTGCAAACATCAAAGTATTGGCACACCAAACACCTTCTTTCTCTCTGAAAGGTTAACAGCATTAGCTGCGTCACCCAGTAAGCGAAGTATTATCTTAAAAAATAGACCAAGTTTTAGAACATACACGAGATAGCTATCACCACCGCCACGTTACATTCCATTCCATGCCCCATTCCCTCCCTCCGGAAGACTAACATATGTTGACACTTATTGTCGGGGAGAGTATTGACAAGATATTGTTTGGAGGTATGGAAATAATTGATATACATGTATATGTTTCACAATATGGAAAATAACCAGTGTGAAAAAAAGTAGTAAATACCAACCACTTTCTAGATTTCTCACATAATCAAGGAATAGTAAAAATTAATAGGACAAAAAGAAGACATGAAGCAGAAAAGTGACCTTATTTATGACCTCACATAGGACCCTACTCATAAGTGAGGGAGTGTGATGAAGATCTACTCAAGTTACAAATTTTTTTAGAGAGAAATGTCAGGTTTAGTTTAAAATTCCCTCAAATTCTACTCAGTGTATATGAATCTATGTTATACAACCCAGAACTAGTATACATATTGCCAGTCAATACATTTTTTATGTTTAATTTAAGTATATTCCGGTCAACTATGAACATGCTTGATAGAGCCTTCTCGACCTTTTCAAAATGAAGAGGGTGGTTAAAATTTCTCACATGAATAAACAGAGCATTAGACTCTTGTCCAGTTCTAATGCTGTATTTATGATGATGTAATCTTAGCTCAAGACTTTTTCCAGTATGACCCTAATAAACTTCATTGCATTTTTACAGGGAATCTTATAGAATCAACATATTTTTGGTCACACCAGTGCTGGATTTCACTGATAAAGCACCGCTAGTTGATAGTTGTAAATACGCTGCCTTACCGAAGCTATATTCGCCATTCCATTAACAGAGTATCACAACAGTGTTCCGCAGAGAAGTTGTTTATATATAGACACATCAGGTAAAGGTGAAAGGACTAAGTGAGACGAAGTGACTACGTCAGGCTATGTTTCTCAATTGTTATTTTCAATACGATGTTTTTCAGATGGACTGAAAGCCTAGTTAAGGAATGCCATGGATGCATGACAAGGGAATGTGTCATCAGGTAAAGGAGACCCGTTGTCAGAAGAAATTGATGATTTCTGACGCGCAAAACACCTCCATGACCACAGGTGACCAGCAGTCGCTCTAACCGTTCACTCGTGACCAATACTCTATAGTGCGGCGTGCCAGTACTCTGTAGTGTGGCGTGCCAGTACTCTGTAGTGTGGCGTGCCAGTACTCTGTAATGCGGCGTGTCAAAACTCTGTAGTGTGGCTTGCAGTACTCTGTAGTGTGGCGTGCCAGTACTCTGTAGTGTGGCGTGCCAGTACTCTGTAGTGTGGCGTGCCAGTACTCTGTAATGCGGCGTGTCAAAACTCTGTAGTGTGGCTTGCCAGTACTCTGTAGTGTGGCGTGCCAGTACTCTGTAGTGTGGCGTGCCAGTACTCTGTAGTGTGGCGTGCCAGTACTCTGTAGTGTGGCGTGCCAGTACTCTGTAGTGTGGCGTGCCAGTACTCTGTAGAGTGGCGTGCCAGTACTCTGTAATGCGGCGTGTCAATACTCTGTAGTGTGGCTAGCCAGTACTCTGTAGTGTGGCGTGCCAGTACTCTGTAGTGCGGCTAGCCAGTACTCTGTAGTGTGGCGTGCCAGTACTCTGTAGTGTGGCGTGCCAGTACTCTGTAGTGTGGCGTGCCAGTACTCTGTAGTGTGGCATGCCAGTACTCTGTAGTGTGGCGTGCCAGTACTCTGTAGTGTGGCGTGCCAGTACTCTGTAATGCGGAGTGCCAGTTCTCTGTAATACGGCGTGCCAGTACTCTGTAATGCAGCGTGCCAGTACTCAGTAACGCGGCGTGCCAGTACTCTGAAACGCGGCGTGCCAGCAATCTGTAATGCGGAATGCCAGTACTCTGTAATGAGGCGTGCCAGTACTCAGTAATGCGGCGTGCCAGTACTCTGTAATGCAGCGTGCCAGTACTCTGTATTGGGGCGTGCCAGTACTCTGTAACGCGGCGTGCCAGTAATCTGTAATGCGGAGTGCCAGTACTCTGTATTGGGGCGTGCCAGTACTCTGTAACGCGGCGTTCCAGTACTCTGTAATGCAGAGTGCCAGTACTCTGTAATGGGGCGTGCCAGTACTCTGTAACGCGGCGTTCCAGTACTCTGTAATGCAGAGTGCCAGTACTCTGTAATGGGGCGTGCCAGTACTCTGTAACTCTGCGTGCCAGTACTATGTAACGTGGCGCGCCAGTACTATGTAACCTGGCGTGTCAGTACTATGTAACGTTGCGCGCCAGTACTATGTAACGTGGCGTGCCAGTACTATGTAACGTGGCGTGCCAGTACTATGTAACGTGGCGTGCCAGTACTATGTAACGTGGCGTGCCAGTACTATGTAACGTGGCGCGCCAGTACTATGTAACGTGGCGCGCCAGTACTATGTAACGTGGCGTGCCAGTACTATGTAACGTGGCGCGCCAGTACTATGTAACGTGGCGCGCCAGTACTATGTAACGTGGTGCGCCAGTACTATGTAACGTGGCGCGCCAGTACTATGTAACGTGGCGTGCCAGTACTATGTAACGTGGCGCGCCAGTACTATGTAACGTGGCGTGCCAGTACTATGTAACGTGGCGCGCCAGTACTATGTAACGTGGCGCCCCAGCACTATGTAACGTGGCGCGCCAGTACTATGTAACGCGGCGCGCCAGTACTATGTAACGTGGCGTGCCAGTACTATGTAATACGGAGTGCCACCACCAGCACCTCCGCTGCCACCACCAGCACCTCCACTGCCACCACCAGCACCTCCGCTGCCACCACCAGCACCTCCACTGCCACCACCAGCACCTCCACTGACACCACCAGCACCTCCGCTGCCACCACCAGCACCTCCGCTGCCACCACCAGCACCTCCGCTGCCACCACCAGCACCTCCACTGACACCACCAGCACCTCCGCTGCCACCACCAGCACCTCCACTACCACCACCAGCACCTCCACTGCCACCACCAGCACCTCCACTGACACCACCAGCACCTCCGCTGCCACCACCAGCACCTCCACTGCCACCACCAGCACCTCCACTGCCACCACCAGCACCTCCACTGCCCACCAGCACCAACACCTCCACTGCCTTCACCATCATCAACACCTCCACTGCCACCACCATCATCAACACCTCCACTGCCATCACCAGCGCCAACATCTCCACTGCCATCACCTGCACCAACACCTCCACTGCCACCACCAGCACTAACACCTCCACTACCACCAACACCTCCACTACCACCAACACCTCCACTACCACCAACACCTCCACTAAAACCAACACCACCACTACCACTAACACCTCCACTACCACCAACACCACCACTACCACCAACACCTCCACTACCACCAACACCACCACTACCACAAACACCAACACCACCACTACCACCAACACTACCGCCAACACTGCCTCTAACACCAACACCTCCACTACCACCAACACCAACACCTCCACTACCACCAACACCAACACCTCCACTACCACCAACACCCCAACTACCACTTAAACGAACACCTCCACTACCACCAACACCTCAACTACCACTGGCACCAACACCTCCACTACCACCAACACCACCAACACCACCACCACCATTAACACCAACCCCTCCTCTACTACCAACATCACTACTACCACCAACACCTCCACTAGCACCAACAATACTTCTGCTACTACTGCCACAACTGCCTCCACTACGGCCAACACCACCTTTACCACTACGGCCACACCACCCCACCACTACGGCCAGCATCACCCCACCACTACGGCCACATCACCCCCCACCACTACCCAACACCACCTTTACCATAGCCAACACCACCTTTACCACTACGGCCGCACCAACCCACCACAACGGCCAGCATCACCCCACCACTACCCAACACCTACCTCACCACTACGCCAACACTCACTTTACCACTACGCCAACACCCCCCACCACTACGGCCAGCATCACCCCCACCACTACGGCCAACACACCTTTACCACTACGGCCAACACCACCTTTACCACTAGGCCAGCCACCACCCCACCACTACGGCCAACACCACCCCACCACTACGGCCAGCACCACCCCACCACTACGCCAACACCACCCCACCACTACGGCCATACACCACCCCCCACTACGGCCAACACACCCCACCACTACGGCCAACACCACCCCCACCACTACGGCAACACCACCCCACCACTACGGCGCACCACCCCCACCACTACGGCCAGCCACCCCCACCACTACGGCCAAACACCACCCCACCACTACGGCCAGCACCAACCCCCACCACTACTGCCCCAACACCAACCCACCACTACGGCCAACACCACCCCACCACTACGGCCAACACCACCTCACCACTACGGCCAACACCACTTTACACCACTCACGGCCAACACCACCCCACCACTACGGCCAGCACCACCCACCACTACGGCCACACCACACCCCACCACTACGGCCAGCACCACCCCCACCACTCACGCCAACACAACCACCACCACTACGGCCAGCACCACCCCCACCACTACGGCCAACACCACCCACCACTACGGCCAACACCACCCACCCACCCACCCACCTACGGCCAACACCACCCCCACCACTACGGCCACACCACCCCACCACTACGGCCAGCACCACCCCCACCACTACGGCCAACACCACCCCACCACTACGGCCACACCACCCCCACCACTACGGCCAACACCACCCTCCACCACTACGGCCAACACCACCCCACCACTACGGCCAACACCACACTCACCACTACGGCCAACACCACCCACCACTACGGCCAGCACCACACCCCAACCACTACGGCCAGCACCACCTCACCACTACGGCCAACACACCCACCACTACGGCCAACAC